CTCTTTAATACAGAATTATCAAACTCTGTGGATGGGAAATCCTTTTTGAAGTTTAGACTTTGATTCCCGACACTGGAGAAGGGAAAATACATTTTTGCAGTGTGACTAGTTGTCATATCCATTCCATCATCTGTAAATGCCTCAGTAACATCCGCACGCAGTAATTGCTCTGGTGGAGTTTTACAAATACCAGAAAACATAGCTTTAACATCAGATGCCTGGCATTTTGTCATTTCCATTCCATCATCTTGCCCCCTCAAGACTTTTGTTACATTGCAGGTGTCCAGTTGTTCATGGGAATATACAAATTCCACCGACGATTGTGCCATGTCTTCTGAGACTTGTGAAGGGACAAAAAAAACATTCTCTTTTTCAGGTCCCTCAGTAGGATTGAGTGCCTTTTTGTTTGAGTTCAAGCTCATCAAAAATTCATTGAAATTTATTTTTTTTACAGTAGTAGCATCTTCCTTCTGTTCAAAAGATGGGCACGAATGGTTTGTAGGGTCAGAGAAAAAATGAAATTCTTCGCTCATTTCTGCCTTTCCATTGTTAGAGTTTAACCCAGCCAGAAATGATGTGATATCTATTTTCTCAGTTTTGTCAGCTTGATTGTTTTTCAGGTTACGTGTAATCACTGCAGTGTGACTAGCTGTCATATCCATTTCATTTTCATCTGAAAAGATGAGGGTGGTGTTATGCCTATTTGTTCTTTGAATGGCGTTGTCCGCATCATGCCACTAAAAAAAAAAAAAATAAAAGGAAGAAATTACAGTTACTGACAACTTAAAACAAGTGATACAGTGGTTTATTCTATTTAAAATAAAAATCAACTCATGCAGTCCTAAGGCTATCTCTCTTTTTTTAAAAAAAAAAAAAAAAAATTATTGATTTCAGTCCTCCTCGATAAGCAATAACACATTCAAGGAAGGGATGGCGACTTAATTATTAGTGTGTATCATATTTAAAAGGTTTTTTTTGAAAGAATGTGTCTCAGTTTTTCTGTTGGGCAAAGACTTCATACCTAGACATATCTTTGAAAGGATGGAACAATTACTGAGTCTTATGAATCAGTATTTTCTATATCTCTACAGTGTGGTTTCCACCTTTCTTTTTCCCCCCATAACTGCAAGTAAAAACCTTGCCCAGCTTATCATGCATGTGTCTCAAAGCAGCAGCACCAAGTTGGAAGTTTTAAAAGACTTTTCCACCACTGACTAGGGAGATTTTAGTCTCTTTAATAGAGTGGATTTACAGTTTTAAAGCCGTAGGAAAAAATTGGCCAGTAACAAGATATAATACTATATTGTATCAAAAAAATGAATATGTTGATTAAGAACAACTTCATGTTTACTTCAAATTACACGTGCTATTTTATAAATGCAAGAAATAAAATATGCTAGAACAAGCACAACCATATACATTACCCAAAACAAGGAAAGACAGAATTTCAATCTGACATTTATAGAATCGTGCTATACATCTTCTCATCCACACTAGATTTTAACTGTTGGGGTTTTTTTTGTTTGGTTTGGTTTTTAACATGCATTAACAAGAGCTAACATATGTTTTTAAGCCATATCTTTAAACTCAACATAAAAGTCAGAAGCCATTGCCGTAAGGGAGATTGTTTTGACAATTGCTTTGTTTAACAACACAGTGCCGTAACATCATCACTGAAGTGTAACACAGTTCAGGATTTCTGTGCAATTGTGCCTGTGAAGGTCTTAGCTAAGAATTTTGTGTGTTATTACTTGATTCAACTGAAGAAATTCAGTTACCTTTTCATGCTAATCATTGCAATTTGTCTAAAGCTTTTTAACAGCAGGACAGAGAGTACATTTGTGCATATCCATTCTACCCAGAGAAGAAAAAAAATACACAAGCAGAGAGTAATACATGAGAAAAAATACATAACCAGACCTATCTGAAACATAAGCTCCTTTGCATATTCTTCAATAAGAATTGAAAAGAATGGAGGGACTAGCTGAGGTACTGAAAAATTAGCAAGCAATTTTAGAAGCCAGAGTTATCAATACTGCAGTATAATGCCTATCAGATTAGGAAAATACTTCAAAATATAGAAGATTAGCTTTCAGAAGAATTTTATGTGAATACAAGGATTTCTTTTTTAGGCAGTTGAGTTACCTTTTTCATCTTTACTACACAAATTATTGAAATATATTTTGGACACTGATATTTTCAGCACCAAAAAAATAAAAGCCTTCATATACCTCAGTCTGCTGCACCAATGCCTGGATAGGGGCATGAAGCAAAGTGCTCATTCCTGTTGAAAGAAAAGGAAATACTCCATTTGTTGCACTATTTTCTTATTATTTTATCCACTGAGCTGAAGATCTATGCATTCGTTTTACAAATACCACTGAGTAAGTACAATTAAAACCAAATATATCCTGAAAAATATTGTCAGTACTCCCTTCAGCATGTGGAAGAGCCACCCATACTTCTACAAGACAATGCTTGTAAACAGCTTTATGGGACAAAGCCCATTCATGCAACAGTCATCTCGGACAGGGAGATTGTTCTAGGCATGTTAAAGTTATTCAAACAAAATCAATAGCTTTGAATAAGGATAGCCATTTTGTTATTAAATCTATTTCCAAACTCACCAGTGATCTCACACGGAACAGCTTCAGGTTCTTCATTTCTACAAAAGGTAGGTTAGGTAAACAGTTTATTAAAAGATTTCAAAACACAAGGCTTCAGCAATATACTGAAAAGGCAGAAAATTTGTTGCATAGCTCATACGGGACTGGGCAGCAGATACCAGACACTAGTTATGTCTTCAATATATTCTAATTTGAGTTGCAATCTTATTTTCCCCATGAGATTCTCTCATCTTAGCATGCCCCAAGCCATTGTTCAACATACAGATGGCATTTTAATTCCTCAGTGACAAGTAGAAAAAAGAGAAAAGATTAATTCTTTATTTTTAACTCGGACCTTCCACTTTTAATTATTCCTTTCTCTTTGGGAAACTGAAGCTGTGTTTCTAAAGCCTGAAATCATATCTCTTTGAAACAAAAAGCCACATACAATGACCAGCTTGTGTGGTTTCCATCTAATTTTTAATGCCTCTGCTCTCCGCTGTTTTATTGATTGCTCTTTCAAGAGCAAGAAACCTTAGCTAGAGTACTGATTCTTATTTATATATATATACACACACACATATATATATGTTACTATATTGGGTTGATACCTTTAAAAGCATGAGTTAACTACATAAGCTGTAGTACATAAGCTGTTTCCTTGGTATACATTTTAAATGTAAGAAATTCCCCTTCACACATAGAAACTGTCTAAATCTGTTATTTTACTTACCAGGTCATTTTAATTTTAAAACCCCCATTGTTTTACCTAGACAAGAACTTTGAGGCCAGACTAACACTTTATCTACCTCTGCCAGAAAAAGTTATAGTAATAAATATCGAAGACTATGTCTATCAGATATGGAATCTGGTAGGTGTTTCCTGGAAAACATTCCCAAGCAATCAGCTTTGGAAGGAAGCAGTTTCAAGCCATAGTTGTTCAATTTTTCAGAAACTGCTATCTTTTTGTGAGTGACCAACACAGCTATATCCTTTTTTTTTGCTGTATCCCTTCTTTCACCAAAAAGCAGTGAGCAATTTTATATCTAAATAAATACGTATGCTGCATTTCTTTGAGGAGTAATATTTTGATGGCCGCACGTCATGTGAAGAAATGCATTTGCAGGACAGAACTCCATGGTCACGGGAATTTTTTTCAAACTTACTGATTAAGCAGGACGTCATTCCTCGTATCTGCTGCACACTCTAAAAATAGTAAGAAAATTAGACATTACAATGTGAGAAGCATGATCAAAACATTCAGAGACAAGAGTAAACTGCGCAGAAAAGAATGTTCTGAAGTTCTCACTTTTGATGTGCCTTCTTATTGTGGCAAAAACCCAGAGAAGCAAAGTACTTGAAAATGCAGTAGCTTTTCAGATTCTTCCTAGGTAATCTTTGACAGAGTGAATATGACATTCTGCTCAGCTTCTTTTGATCTAAATCCCCAAGGCAGATTTTGTTCTAGGTGCATTTTGTCAAAGAAAATAATTCCTTTTCTGAGCTACAAGATCCACAATACCAGTAACTAATGGGTTTTCAGCTAGTCCATGATAAACAGCTGACCATATTGTTCCTTACCTGTGACTGACAGGCCTGACTTCTTAAATTCAGGCTAAAATCTTGTTGCTAATAGTCTGCGAATCCTATCAGAAGAAGAGAAAGGAGTTTTACCTGTACTTTCTCCCTCTGCTGTGTTATTCTTAAGATCTCTCTGGAAGACTCTGCAGCTAAGAAAAAAACAAAACAAAACAAAACAACCCAGTTTTTGAAAAACATAAGACCATCTGTTTTGAAGTAAAGAAAAAGAATAAAGTAAAAAAAAAAAAAAAAATCTCAGCCCTAATTTCAACATTTTCCACATGGTATGTTCTGAAATGACATATCAAAAGCCAGAAGCTTACTGAACCCAGCCATATTCCCCAGCGGGAAGATGCCATTATCGTACTTAAGATTGCAATCACTAAAAAATTTAATGGGAAACAGAAATTCCTAATTATATTAAATTCACTGAACCATTTTTTTCTAGCTAGGAAGAGAAAATGAATAATGGCTCTCTAAGGGCTCAAAATCAACTCAACATAACAACAATTTACCTTCACTGAATATTCACCAACATATGCAAACAGCAGTTTTAGGGGATACCAGATTATTACCCATAGCCTGCATTTTAGGGGGTACTAGTTTATTACCTATAGCCTGCATTTTATGCCTAAATAAAGGGTGTAGATCTGCATCCTTCAGATCAAACTTACTTTATGGTGTTCGCAAAGCTGACACGGCGAGAGTTTTTCCTACGTTTTTCTATATTGATATCCTGACAACAAAGAACACAACACTTCGATATACAGAGAACTGTTCTTATCCCATAAGCCACAATAAGCATAGCTTTTCATGAAACACAAAAACAAACAAAAAACCACCCCCCCCTCAAAATAATAATCTATGAGCCCAACAAATACAACAGATATTTACCAACATCCTTAAACTACTTTATAGTTCTCCAACTTCTCCTGACATAAAGACACCCATCTCATAAGAAGTAGGATCTAAAGATCACTGTGAGAACTGCCTAGTTTCAAACACAAGAAGCAGAATACCAGTTATAAGGATCTTTGTCTGGCATGTTGTCTGGCATACTAGGGAAAATATAGGTAGTTGCTTAGCAAGAGAGTTGCAGGATTTTTTTTCTTTAGTTTTCTGTTACAAGAATTGAAAAAAAATACAGTAATAATGGTTTGTCTTTATGGGAGAAAGGGAAGGATTCATGAAAGAAACAAAGTCACTATTTTCCTATAGAAATGTTTAAATGGTGTCACTGACTACATGATCATACTAATGCAATGTTACAAGGTATGTAATGATGCAGTATCATGTATACTGGAAAGCTAATTCATCAGACCGCTGCTGTGCAGTTGTCTGCAATAAGCTTCCCTAACTAAATAGCTCAGCGTTAGGACAGTGGAACACCCGTTTAAGAAAACACAAAGTATTAACATACCCGGCACTACCCGTTATATGCACATGACTAACAAAACCTGTAAAATACTTTTTTTTTTTTTAAATCATATCAGCAACACAAGCAGTTATGAATGATATCACACTACTGTATGTGATAGTCTTCTATTGCTCATTAGTGGTACTGTCCATGATTGTTAACAGGTATTACAGTTTAAATGAAGACTGTGAGCCACTCTTCATACTCAACCCAGTTTTGAAATAGATGTGTTGCACATAAGTATTTCAGGCTCATATTTCATATTCTAAAGAAATTATCAGAGGCTTTTTCACTGAAAGCCTTATATGCTAAAAATGAGTTTTCAAGTTCTGTAATCAGCAACAGGTAAACCATATAAATATATGATGCAACCGGAACATTAGTCCATAGAACACACCCTAGGCAGAAATGTCATTTAAAAAGAAAACCAAACTGAACAAGCCTATAGTTAGAATTTCTAAGAAACAACAGACACTATAAACATGAAATATATTCTGTATGTATTTCTGGAAGAAAATGTTTATTTTTTAGCTTTTACTTTAAATAAATGGGCAGGCTGGCTTTTTTTTTCAGATGTAAAACCATCTTACTGGCTATACCAGTTTGTACACTGGTGGATCAAACTCAAGTCAAATGGACTACAGTAAGAGCAAGTCATGCCTATTAATCTCTGTTTATTCCTCTTTTCTTGATAGAAGAAATATTCTGATGTAAAATAGAAGTATAAGAAAAACTCGATGGATTTCTTACAATATTTAGTACTCCAAACATTATCCTCCTAAGCAGTTATTACAAGAGTTTTTACACCTGCATTATTCTAGTGACACAGTTTAATCAGCGACAAGTTGAGGAGCAAACAAGATGTTAAGAGCATCGGCAAGAAAGGACTTAATAGACCTACCTCCGTCAATTCATTCCCATTTCCCAGATCATCAAGAGGATTTCGCGGAGCCTTTAAAATCTAAAAGAAAATATAATAGTTGAGAAGATCCGCTCCAACAACAAGAACTAATTACTTGGCTGGAGAGAGTTTGTAAGAGCCACCAGTGCCCCGGTCAATCATATCAATCTAATAGGCTCTTTCTTTGCTTTTGGAATGCTTTTCTTCAACTGTGAAGAGAAAACAAGTTTCTCTTTACAGCTTCCCTTTCTTTCCTCCACTCACACGGTTTTCTTTTGAGAAATGCCTTAAGTTACTCACAGAGGACAGTCGCTTCCCTCTGATGTGCTCTGTATTATCACTGGAGGGGAAAAAAAAGAAACAGGTATTAGGGCATCAACTTGAACCAAGATGTATTTCTTGAACAGTACTGCCATGTTTTTGAGGTTAATAAATTGATTTCTCCATTATTTTTACAAGCGTGAAATGAAATAAACAAGCTTGCTTGGAATAGATCATTCATTCCAGACTAGTTCCCAAAAATAAGCTTTGGAAAATTCAGCAGATTGCCCTCCAAACCCTATGGTCAGTTAGTCTCCAGACAATCCACTGCTATGAAATTTCCTCAGAGCTTTCCTACACATGATCAAAGAAACTCCCTATTCTTCTTCTTCACAATGGAAAACACATTTCATTCAAGAGATGCTGAAGTGCACACAGGGGTTAAGAAAAGTTTTGCCTCTAAACGACAGTATTTATACCACAATAAAATTCTTAGAAGGTTTCAACTTACTTTTCCATGTTAGGGTCTGCATAAATCTTGTCCATTTCTGAAGGATGTGCTTTTCCTATAAAATACAGTACTGAAATCCAAAACCGTTAATGAACCTCAGTACAAAAATTGCACAAAACCACAACCAGATACTAGCCTTAGACACTGTAATTTTTGTCTCCATCTTTCTCTAGTCACAGAAATGCACTGAAGCGTAATAGGCCTCTCAAGTCCACGTTTTCCTGTTATATATCATATTATAAAACAACTGTGCTACAGTTTAAGTCTTACTGGTTAGGCATCCTTTTATTTAAAGTTAAGATTCTGGTAACTGTTGGAGATGTGATCAAACCTTATACAATACAAAGTTTGCTAGGTTGCTCTGACACACAAGACAATTTTTCAGTCAATACTTCCCTTACCCCAAGAATATCATATGTCAATGCAAATAACTCCCGCTCGCACAGAAAACTACAATGCTTAGCAAAAGTTGCATAAGGGCATAAAATGAATTAACCCGCACTGACAGGATGCAAGTGCTAACACAGACTTAATATTGCCTAACATTTCTTGTAAACCGCAACAAAATTCAGGGCTTTGAATACCAGGTTAATAGTCCTCATAACTTCAGTCTCCCGTGGACCTGACAAAGACCACCAAAAAAATGTACCACAGAATCAACAGTATAAGATCAATATGTGGAATTTTCTGTGCTATTTCCTAGATTTCAGTGATGATCTCTATCTACATGCATCCCTCCATGAATAACTATGCACAGTATACTTACGGGAGAGCTATAAGCAATCTGACAGCATTTATCACGTTACTTTATTCTCCCCTTGCTAAACCTCAGCAAGCAACGTTGTAAGAGAAACCCTTGCCTAAGCAAGGATTAAGTGATTTGTAAAACTTACAATTAAGTTTTGCGATTAGAAAGAGAGAGATCTGCACAGAACTGCTCAGCTTTTGCATTTCACAGAATCACAGGCTCTCAGGTCTGCAGGGACCTCCGGAGATCACGCAGTCCACCCCTCTGCTCAAAGCGACAGCAGGTCGCTCAGGACATTGTCCATTCCAGGTCTGAGTATCTCCAAAGAGGAAACCCCACAGTCTCTCTGGACAACCTTCACTGTTCCATCTTCGCTGCATTTGTTTCCCCACTTACGTTTAAATGGAATTTCTTGTATTTCAGTTTGTGCCATTGCTTCCTGTTCCTTCACTAGATACAACTGAGAAGAGCCTGGCTCCATCTTCTTTAAACCCTCCCATCAGGTCTTCATACACATTGGTAACTTCCCTCTGATAAGCAACATCCACTGCTCTCCCCTTGTCCACCAAGCCAGTTACCTCATCATAGGTGATTTAAACCACAAACTGACTCTTAGTTTCCAAGCTAAAACTAAGCCTTATGTAGGAAGAAGAAATCTCTAGATTTAGCAAAATGCTAAATCACATAAAATGCTATTGCATATTATTGCTCTGCTCAGAAGGCAGAGCAGAGTTTGAAATATAGGAGGAGGGTAAAGGAACAATCTTTTCAGAAATATCACAGAAATATCAGTTTGCTCAAAGATGATGTTCAGGCAGGGCAAGAAAGCGTGATGAGAAAACTTAACCAACAGATTTTTTCCCTAGTAAATTTCTGTTAGCTTAAACAGAAAAAAAAAAAGCATGATTTTGAAGACACCATTAAATATGAAGGTATAGCAAATAAGAGCCAGAGAAGTTTCCCAGAATGCCATTGTACTTGTAGACAGAAGCTGATTTGCTGAAACGAAATTTATTAATATTCTTGTTTTATTTTTGCAGAGTGATTCCTCTCACCAAAGATGTAGCAGGTTTACGTTAGTACCAGTCAAAAAGTAAGCCTGCAGCTCTGCGGCAACAAAACCAAGACGCTGCTTTCAGGCAGGCATCCCCACGGCGGCTCCCCGGCCGGCAGCCTGAACACTTTGCACGTAAGAACTGCTGGACTGGATCAGACTGAACACAGCCAAGAAGCGACATAAAAGATGGTCGTGCAGGAGAAGAGCGAAAGAACAGAGCAGGGCTATAGAAAGCCTCCTTTAGTCTGCTATTAGGAGGTCTATTAATCTGGAATTCACATCCCAATCAACACACTCAGTGGTCATTCTCTAATCCTTCTTTGAACTTATTTACTTATCTTTGACCTGCAAGGATATGGCGACAAGTTGAAATGCTTTGTTATTCTCTTTATGAAAAAGCATCTCTTTTTATTCTTATATTTGATAATTAAGTATCTCTCAGTTCCACACTGTGAACATGAAGAATCATTCCATGATTTTTTTTCAATGAATTCATGATCGTATAGATGCCCACCCAAGCCCTCCTCGGTCTTCCCCCCCTTTAAGGGTAAGAATCTATTTAGTCTCTCTTTGCGATTCCTTTTTGTTCTCGAGCTGGTTCCCTCACGGTGCCCTGTGTTGTTTGCTGTACCGCCCTGACAGGGCTGACAGCCGGGGAGCCCTGTCCAGAACGACCTCCAAATGCTAATTTACACCTCATCGTCACTTACATCGATGCTTTCCCAAACGTGAATTACTTCGCATTGATCAGGACTGCATTTACCGGTCAGTTTATCAGGCGATTCCCCTCACGCTTCGAGGCTGTCCCTGACTCCAACTACCCCAGCTGAAATCTCCTCAGGCCCGGGCTCGATGCCGCTCAGCCCTCCTTCCACCTCGCTCCTACAGGCGCCAGGCGTGCG